CCCTAACCCCACCCCCTAATCCCACCCATCTCCGCCCCCTGATCCCTAACCCCACCCCTAATCCCACCCAACTCCACCCCCTGATCCCTAACCCCACCCCCTAATCCCACCCATCTCCGCCCCCTGATCCCTAACCCCACCCCTAATCCCACCCAACTCCACCCCCTGATCCCTAACCCCACCCCTAATCCCACCCATCTCCACCCCCTGATCCCTAACCCCACCCCTAATCCCACCCAACTCCACCCCCTGATCCCTAACCCCACCCCCAATCCCACCCATCTCCGCCCCCTGATCCCTAACCCCACCCCTAATCCACCCATCTCCGCCCCCTGATCCCTAACCCCACCCCTAATCCCACCCATCTCCGCCCCCTGATCCCTAATCCCACCCAAGTCCACCCCCTGATCCCTAACCCCACCCCTAAACCTACCCATATCCGCCCCTTAGATCTGGATCCAACTCCGCCCCCTGGATCTCGTGTACTGCAATGAGGTGCTACTGGCTTTTGCTGAGACACACACACCTCTGCTGAGACACACACACACACACCTCTGCTGACACACACACACACACACACACACACCTCTGCTGAGACACACACACACACACCTCTGCTGAGACACACACACACACACACACACCTCTGCTGAGACACACACACACATCTGCTGAGACACACACACCTCTGCTGAGACACACACACACACACACACACCTCTGCTGAGACACACACACACACACACACACACCTCTGCTGAGACACATACACACACACCTCTGCTGAGACACACACACACACACACACACCTCTGCTGAGACACACACACACACACACACACACACCTCTGCTGAGACACACACACACACACACACACACACATCTGCTGAGACACACACACCTCTGCTGAGACACACACACACACACACACACCTCTGCTGAGACACACACACACACACACCTCTGCTGAGACACACACACACACACACACACACACCTCTGCTGAGACACACACACACGCACACCTCTGCTGAGACACACACACACCTCTGCTGAGACACACACACCTCTGCTGAGACACACACACACACACCTCTGCTGAGACACACACACTGAGACACACACACTGAGACTCTGCTGAGACACACACACACACACTGAGACACACACACCTCTGCTGAGACACACACACACACCTCTGCTGAGACACACACACTGAGACACACACACACTGAGACTCTGCTGAGACACACACACACACACTGAGACACACACACCTCTGCTGAGACACACACACACACACACACCTCTGCTGAGACACACACACTGAGACACACACACACTGAGACTCTGCTGAGACACACACACACACACTGAGACACACACACCTCTGCTGAGACGCACACACACACACACACACACACACCTCTGCTGAGACACACACACTGAGACACACACACACACACACTCTTCTCCATCCGGCGTAATTGATGAAGAATGCGATTGTGACTTTCTAATACTAGCAGAGATTAACAATGCGATCTCCACTTCTTCAGCGCTGTGGCTAATTAGCGATGCCTGGCTAATTACAGGTCTGTGTAATTGCAGTGTATCTTAAGAGTTTGTCAAGATGAAACCACCTGGTACACAGAAATTACTCTCATCTCTTATTGTGTAATGACAGGGTGTGTGTGTGTGTGTGTGTGTGTCCTGTTGTGCTCTTCTTCTGCTCTCACCGAGGGAACGCGCTGCCGCTAATTGCGTCTCTCGTTTAATTGACGTTCCGCTGTAGTTTGCGTGTGTGAGTCTCGTCTGGTCCTCCGTGATCCGCATCTCACGCTGGGTATTTCTAACGCCTAGGGTTAGTGCGTGACCTCTGACCTCTGACCTCTGACCTCTGCTTTGTTCCCGCGAGGAACCGTGTGTTTAACGGCTCGGAATGAAGTTGATTGACAAGCTGACGCAACTCGCACATAAATGCCGGAACAAAAGAGGCTGTCGTTAGAGCTAGAGTTATTAACATCACAAAACCCGATCAAACAAACAAAACTATCATGAGATTGAGTCTATTTAGAGAAGAACGAGATAAGGTTTTTAATTTATTCAGAAAGTTTTCTATATTCATAATGAAGGTGGACTTTTTTGTTCAGTATTCTACAGATCGCAATCATTAATATTCTGGGCTATTGTTGCTTGTGTGTATTATTGAGATTATTGTGTTGTTGTTGCATGTGTGTGAGTGTATTGGATCTGTGCATTCGCTCTTAAAGAGACAGTAGCCCATAATAACAAATATAAGAATAAACAAATCTTGTTTAAAAAGTTTCCTTTATAATGACAGCTCAATGACAGATGACAGAATAAATCAGAGTGATATCACGGTTGTGTTAACGAGCTGTGAGAATCCGTCATTAAGCTGTAATTAGAGGCCTGGACGCCAGCGCTCGTCTGCTAAACGGATCGATCTGATTGGTCTGATGAAGCTGCTAACGGTCCTGTCGTTCGGGCCGCATGACAGTGTCTCCTTCAGGTTCTCCTGAGCAAGGTGATGATCGTGCCAGAAAAGACCACAGCATCACTATACACATTCCTCATTAATATTACATGAATATGGTAATTATCGAGTAGCCTGGTTTATGACAGTACCACAATATTGCTGTGATTTTCACATGGTAACATTGTATTGCCATGCATTATTGTATAAGATGTAACATGGTTTACTTTTGGAGCAGCATTTTAGAAATATCATGGTAGATGAATATAGTAATAATCCAGTACCAGTAAAAGTAGCGTTGTATCTTTGATCACCAAAATGATATATTTAAAGCAACACTAAGTAAGATTTTTTACCTTAAAATAATGTTTCCAAAATGGTTTCAGTGGTTCTTTAAGTCGTAACAGGGTGAAAGGCACTTCTGGATCCTATATCTGCTATAACCACGCTGTGTGAGATTGCCAGATCGGGTCGCGTTTCTGTAGTTCTAATGAGACATAAGAAAACTACAAATTTGACTTGCTTTACGTCAAGCGTTACAATAGTCATTATTTTGTTTTTCTTCGTTTCTGATGTCGCAATACATCATACTTTCATTAAATCATGCAACATACTCTAGCTTGTCTGTGGACATCGTTCATTCCAAAGCCGGCGCTGGATAAACAGCGAGTGTGTGTGCGATAGTCGGCTCCGCTAGGCTAAATTATTTACCACAGCGGTAATGGACAATTCCACTTCGAACCTGTAGGGCGACCGCAGAGGAAAAGTTACTTGGTGTTGCTTTAAATGTTTTTCATACCTTAAAATAGCTTCAATGTAACTCGACACCCTCGCCTCATTGAGTATGCATGGCTCTATGAATATGCAAATGAGCCCCGCCTCCACTCACTCCCTCAGCTCAGAGATCCACTGGTTGACGATCACACGTTGATCTGATTGGTTACAAGGTCGTTTGTGACGTCAGAAACACCAGCGATTTCAAACCGTGTTTTTGAGACTGTCTTTGGTTCACTGCAGTTTTAAGGAGGAAATACTCAGCAATGCTGTCGACTTATGAACTTACACATGGTGTGTCTTAAAGCGTATTAAACACCACATAGACACATAAACAACATTAAACACTGGATTCTCACCACAGGGGGACTTATTTGTTACATTCTGTTTAAAAAATGTCTTATTTATTTTAAATAAAATCAGTGTGTGAATGATTCAACGACTCACTCATAAAAACTTGCTTCATTACTGGATGAATCATCGTTTCTGAACGAATCTCTTGAATAAATGATTCTAAGATAAACACACGTTTTAACAGTCCCCTGCCGCCCCCTACTGGCGTAACGGTGTAATCAATGCAATCCTTATTTGAAGCGCCAAGTTTATTTCAAAAGGTGATTTACTCTATTTTGATCGCTTCCGTAGACATCAGTGTTTATATCCGAAATATAAACTTTAATGTATAATCACTTTTATTTAGGAATAAGATCATGTGAGCGTTTGAATGGAGGTTGCGTTCTTTTAACGATTAATCCTGCAGCTCTAAAACAACGAATGACAGGAACTGAGAGAATCCTGTGACAATACGAGACCTTCAGCAACACTTCCTGACAGTCATGTTGATATTAAATAAAAATGTGTGTTAGTTGATGTGTGTAGTGTTTGCTGTCTGCTAGTGATGACGCTGTTGTCTTCTGTACAGACGCTTTACAGCGCAAATTGAATTTGTTTCATAATTAATGAATTTCACAACATCAACACTGTTGTTTTTCTGGTTATTGCTGTGAAGCTGCTTTGAAACCATAAAAGCGCTGTAGATTTAAAATAGAGTTCTATTCTAGCACATTTAAGGTTTGAGGTGTTGAAACATGTTTGCTGTGTGTGTTCTGCTGGCGTTAATGCTAAACACTAATGTAAACATGTGACGGTATCACCGGACCTCTACAGGGCATTCATGGTTTCGTGTTAAACATTTCTGAAATGTTATGTTTTTGAATATGCAAATGAGGCATTACCTTAAATATGCACTCATTTGCATACATTCCCAGAACAGAAATGTAACATCGGATGAAGCCAGGCTGGAAACTCTAGTTTGATTTAAAGGTTTTTACAGAATTTGGGGGATTTTGGACAGAAAATACAGTCAACGGACAGAATATAATTACATTTCCGCCATGTTTTTAGGAGTGAAATGTTGTATAAATCAGGCGAATGATGTGTGTGTGTGTGTGTGTGTGTGTGAGCGAGCGAGCGTGTGTGTTCAATAAAATAAACACTTAAATGTGTGTTTCGGATGTTTTCTTTCCACTAGTCGCATGTTATGGAAGCAAAATAGAGCTCAAACTGTGCAGTGCATGATAAACACGGAGTTTGCCTGTAGTGTGTGTGTGAGTGTGTGTAATGATACTGAAGTGTGTGTGTGTGTGTAATGATACTGAAGTGTGTGAGTGTGTGTAATGATACTGAAGTGTGTGTCCAGGACTGACGCCCCTGTGTGTGTGTGTGTTGCAGCTGGTGTTCGAGATGGTGGCGTCTGGGGAACGAGGTCTGCTGGCCGTCAGAGGAATCTCCCGTCAGGGTCATCAGTGCAGTAAGTGTGTGTGTGATCGACACTCGGATACCCACAATCCTCTGCTCTTCACCGACACACAGCCGATCACACACAGCTCAGAGAACATGCTCGTGTTGAGCTCTCCTTATCCCTCTTCAGCCGAGGCGTGCGGGTCAGCTCACCCATATTTCATTTCAGCTTTATTTCAATTAACAAAAAACTATTTTTTAGTTTTAGTTGACTGTAACATCATTGAAATAAACCCATATTGAATGCGTTTTTAACTGGCTTTTTTCACTTTATCAGTAGCAGATTTGAATGAATTTGAATTAATAAGTGAATGATTCAATGACTCGCTCATAAAGACTTCATTACTGGATGAATCAGTGCTTTTTATGAATCTCTTGAATAAATGATTCAAAGATAAATACATTTTTTAACAGTCACTTGTCGCCACCTACTGGCGTAACGGTGTAATCGATGTAATCGTTATTTGAAGCGCCAAGTTACTTTCAAATTTTGATTGAATGCGTTTATTAACTGGCTTTTGTAAGTGGCAGTTTTGATAAACAGGAGCCGATGATGATAGCGGATATAAAGTCGCACAGCATCACGTTTAATAATCGTCTGTGAATGCCTCATTTAATGTGATTCATCAGCTGATAAATGGTTTTGAATGATGTTTGACCTTCACTCTTTCCCTCCATTTCTCATCCCTCGTTCTCAAGCTCCTCCTCACACATGAATCACAGTGTTTCTGGTTGAAAGCATCACAAGCTTGTGAATCAGAGATCATGAATCTTCTAGTATCGGCTCACCTTGATTTCTTGCGCTGTAACATGAAGGTGTTTTTCTCCGTCCTGAAGCTCGTTCTGATGTATTTCTGTAACCGCTCCGTCTGGAAACGTTCCTTGCTGCCCTTGAGCCGGAGAATGTGATCCTGTTATATCCTGATGGGAATGTGTGCCGATGCATTTGATGATTGATTGACAGGCAGCCGGGTGAAAGGCGTCCACTCATGATTCAATGAGTCATTTGAGTTGATTCACTATTGGAGCACTCACTAATGTCTCTCTCTCTCTCTCTCTCTCTCTCTCTCTCTCTCTCTCTCTGTGTGTGTGTGTGTCAGTGAACACGCCTCACTTCCTGCACATTAAAGGTGTGGAGGTCAACGCCAGACAGACGGCCACGTTCCAGTGCACTATTAACGGGCAGCCCAAAGATCACGTCAACTACATGCTCTGGTTACAGGTGACGACTCGTACACACTCATTATAACACAACTCCACATCTTAGTTGATGATAATTGAGTTTTGTTGACAGCTTCGTCCTCAGCCGTTTGACCCTCTGCTGCTCTTCGCGTGTCGGTCAAAAAAATGACCGAAACTTTTATTTCAATGAAGTTAATGTACTATATTTTAGTTTGATAATGTTTTTTATTCAATATTTTGTGTTTTTAGGAGATTTTATGGTACTAAATTATATTTACGCTATATTTATTATCCATTTATGAACTTTTTGAGCATAGACCTGAATATTTAATTTCCAACTTAAACTGTGGTAAATCTTGAATGCTTTAAAGCACAGATTTAAGGTTGATCTCTATTCAAAGACGACACTTGGCAGATTATTGCTGAAGTGAAAAACGTTTTTAAAAGAATTTTACGTTTATTGTTGTGAGAAATGTGCAGAAATACTATTTTACATTTTTATATAAAATATATATTTTCAAAAACATGTTTTACTTTAAAAATGTGAGAAAATCAAAGCCATAAATCTAAACAAGTTGTTTTCAAAATTTTACCCTGATCTCTCAGTAAAGGAGTGTTCAGTGAGAGTGTGTTCGGCTGCAGTTCCACACGCTTCCACTAGAGGAAACTCTCCTTTCATTTCCAATGCGTCATTTCTGACCGCGAGGAGCACAAGTGGGACTATTGCTTTCAGGACCATTTAATCTGTTCAGATCATGTCCATTATTTTTTTATGTGTTCACACAGCAAGTGCCAAAACCTTTACCAAGTGTCGTACCATTCCGACAAATGTAATATTTTTCGGTCAAAAGTGACCGAAGAGCACCAGAGGTTGATGTTGATGTGTGTTGATGTGTGTTGATGTGTGTTGATGTGTGTGGATGTGTGTGGATGTGTGTTGTTGTTCCTCAGGGCATCGGGGGCCGCGAGGCTCCTATGAAGGAGTGTGGATGTGTGTGGATGTGTGTGGATGTGTGTGGATGTGTGTTGATGTGTGTTGATGTGTGTTGATGTGTGTTGAGATGTGTGTTGAGATGTGTGTGGATGTGTGTTGATGTGTGTTGTTGTTCCTCAGGGCATCGGGGGCCGCGAGGCTCCTATGAAGGTGTGTGGATGTGTGTTGATGTGTGTTGATGTGTGTTGATGTGTGTTGTTGCTCCTCAGGGCATCGGGGGCCGCGAGGCTCCTATGAAGGACACGAAACCGGTGAACTCCAGACGCTACACCGGCACCTTCGACATCCTCAACACCACGAAGAGCGACTCAGGCCGATACCGGTGCATCGTCCACTCAGAGAGGGGTGTGGGAGTGTCCAGCTACGGGGCGCTGGTGGTCAAACGTGAGTGTGTGTGTGTGTGAGTGTGTGTGTGAGAGTGTCCAGCTACGGGGCGCTGGTGGTCAAACGTGTGTGTGTGTGTGTGTGTGTGTGGGAGTGTCCAGCTACGGGGCGCTGGTGGTCAAACGTGAGTGTGTGTGTGTGTGAGTGTGTGTGTGAGAGTGTCCAGCTACGGGGCGCTGGTGGTCAAACGTGTGTGTGTGTGTGTGTGTGTGTGGGAGTGTCTAGCTACGGGGCGCTGGTGGTCAAACGTGAGTGTGTGTGTGTGTGAGTGTGTGTGTGAGAGTGTCCAGCTACGGGGCGCTGGTGGTCAAACGTGTGTGTGTGTGTGTGTGTGTGTGTGTGTGTGTGTGTGTGTGTGTGTGTGTGTGTGGAGTGTCCAGTTACGGGGCGCTGGTGGTCAAACGTGAGTGTGTGTGTGTGTGTGTGTGTGTGTGAGAGTGTCCAGCTACGGGGCGCTGGTGGTCAAACGCATGTGTGTGTGTGTCAAGTCAAGTCACCTTTATTTATATAGCGCTTTTTACAATACAGATTGTATCAAAGCAGCTTTACAGTGATAACATGAAAATAATACAACAAAGTTTGTTTCTAGAAGAAAATTGCGTCATCGTCCACCTGAAGTAAGGCAGATCAAACTCCCATCAGGGACAGAATGGAGAATAAACCTCGTGAGAACCCAGACTCCGTCGCTCAGTTCTCCTCTGGCCAATGAGCGAACAGTGTGTGATTATGATTATGATTCAGGCAGCATTACAGGTCAGAGGTCAGATTGGATCAGAACATTCACAATATTTATCCAGTTCCTCTGGTTGAAGGTCGGAGTCACGCCGGGATGGACACGAGATGTAGAGGTGTCCATGAGGCCTTCACAGCGCTGATGAGGCTGCACTGCAGGGATGAGATGTGGACGTGTCCAGGCGCAGGTCCACCGGCTGATCTGGATACGGCCCGGATCCGGCTGACTTCAGTAAACCTCGGAATAAATGGAACGACTAACATTAGCGTAGATGCCATTCTTCTTAAGATGTAACGAGTACATCAGGTGTTGTAGGAAGTGTTCCCGGTTCCGGCTGACCTAATCTATGCAGCCTAATAATCATTTAACTGATTTGAATAATAGAAATTATATCCTAGGTATTATCAACTGGCCGGAGTTTAGAGAACCCAATAGACATGAAGGACAATAATGCGTTAAGAGCTCGCTCAAGTACTGGGAGCTAAACCATTTAGTGCTTTGTAAGTAATCAGCAATATTTTAAAATGTATACGATGTTTAATAGGGAGCCAATGCAGTGTTGACAGAACCGGGCTAATATGGTCATACTTCCTGGTTCTGGTAAGAACTCGAGCTGCTGCGTTTTGGACCAGCTGTAGTTTGTTTATTAAGCGTGCAGGGCAACCACCCAGTAGAGCATTACAGTAATCTAGCCTTGAGGTCATGAACGCATGAACTAACTGTTCCGCATTCGTCAATGAGAGCATATGACGTAATTTAGATATATTTTTAAGATGGAAAAATGCGGTTTTACAGATACTAGACACGTGGCTTTCAAATGAAAGATTGGTATCAAAGAGTACACACACACACACACACACACACACACACACACACACACACACAGGTTCCTAACCGACGACGAAGACTTGACAGAGCCATCAAGTGTTAGACAGTATTCTAGGTTATTACGTGAGGAAGTTTGGCCAATAGTTAGAATCTCTGTTTTCTCAGAGCCAGGCTCAGGAAACCACTAGTCATCCAAATCCCCATATCAGCTATGCTGGTGGTCAAACACGAGTGTGTGTGTGTGTGTGTGTGGGAGTGTCCAGCTACGGGGCGCTGGTGGTCAAACACGAGTGTGTGTGTGTGTGTGTAAGATTGTCCAGTTACGGGGCGCTGGTGGTCAAACATGAGTGTGTGTGTGTGCGTGTGGGATTGTCTAGCTAATGGGCGCTGGTGGTCAAACGTGAGTGTGTGTGTGTGTGTGTGTGTGTGTGGGGGATTGTCTAGCTACGGGGCGCTGGTGGTCAAACGTGAGTGTGTGTGTGTGTGTGTGTGTGGGGGATTGTCTAGCTACGGGGCACTGGTGGTCAAACATGAGTTCAAATTCTTTAAGTCTCTGTTGATTCCCACTGACCAGAGGATAGAAGAAGATACAACATGGTGAAGATCATAGCAAGTGTGTAGATCAGCGCACTAGTTTTAGAGCAGAGTGTGTTTGTGTGTGTGTGTGTGTGTGTGTGTGCACCTGTCCGTGGTCTGGTATTATTAGAAGTGTGTGTGGCCGCACCCTGGAGCCGCACTGATTCCCTCGCGTGTGTGTGCAGATCTAACGCTCCTCTGTCATTTACACACACACACACACACACACACACACACACACACACACACACACACACACACACACACACACACACTGTTATTGGGAAGGTCCCGCTCTGGAGTGGTCAGGGCAGACTGTAGTGACTGTAGTGGACGCGAGCTGATGTGAAGCGACAGGACCTG